CCCCCAAACACCCCCCCCCCCCCCGCCTTTTTTGGTACTTTTCTCTCCTGCTTTTTGGGTTTTCTGCTTACTAAATGCCAAAATACAATACAAGGAAATTAAATGCAAGAATTCAGTTGATGCAGTCATGCTGATGCAGTACCAAGATTAAGAAGATGAACACTTGAAACTTATAAAGGCAAACATTTAAGGTGCATTAACTTTATCACTCAGCACATTTTTATTATTTATAATTCCTATACTCCTCTTCCAACATATGCTTCTTTTGCACCCTCTTCCATAAAATCTACAGAACAGCCACTCTTCACAGTGGAAAAAGAAAAGCTGTTTATGGAACTCCTTAATCAGCAAGGCTCAAGGTTTCCACAGCAATATCTTGTAGTTGTTTTGCATTATTAAATATGCATTGAAATAACTCCAAGCATTCTAGCAAAATCAGTTTAACAACACTAAACAACCCTCCTATTTAGCACAGTTTCTGCAAGTCTCTGCCAAAAATACTATCCTGTAGCTTCCAGCAGAAAAATGTTCACTGAAAGCAACAGACCTGGAAAGACACATTTTCCTCCTTCCACCATAGGACTAGAGACTTACTTAAACCTAAGGCAAGGATAACCAAGGTACAGTTGGTACTTCACAGATAACAAGTATTTCAAGGACAGCAGTTCTACCAAATTCCCCTACATTTCCTTTCAATTTATGAAACTGTCCATACCTTCCATTGGGGCAAGCGTAGAAGACGCGGCACGTTAGTTAAGCACCCAAGAATCCAGGCAAGTTCTGCATGCTCAGGAACCTGGAAGTACAAAGTCAGAATCAAATAGATTAAAATATAATCTTCTGCATTTATATGCATATTTTCTCAAAATCACTACAGATACATAGTATCAGATCAGAAAACCATTTGTTTTTGTCTATTATTTTTTCAGTGAGGTCAAGCGACAAGCTAATGGAAAGTTTTGGACACTGCATGTATTGAATGCACTACACTCAAGCAGCATAGCAAAGTTCTTGATCCTATCCACTCATATTCTAAAAAAGAAAGAAAATGCTTTAGCAATAACAGAGTTGAACGCACATGTAAACTAACCAACTGCTGGCCACTGTACCACAGCCTCCCCACACTTCGAGATAATACATTAATAGTTACAAAACCTCTTTGCCTTCCTCCTTTCCAGTGCCAGTAAGTTAGCTAAGCTTCATTTCTTCTGCATCAGGGCCCTGAATGCACTGATTTCCCTTAATTGTCCTCACCAGCCTCACCTGAGCCCTCCACCCATGGCCCTAGAAGCCCCATTTAAGCTCAGGCCAGACTGCCCCTAGTCTTTGCCTGAGCTACATTACACTGAAGCATGTCTGGCAGCATAATAACTGCCGGTCCTTCACAAAAGTCTGAGCTAACAGCCAGGGAACAAGAAGAGCTGGGCCGCTCCATGACACTGTGGCTGCAGACAGCCACAAGCCAGGCAGGAACAGTTACCTCCCTGACCAGGAGAATGTCCTGCACTATTTAATCAGGGCAGGAGTGGTGACGGTGACAGTCTGGTAATCATCAGACATAGCAAGGTAGTTAGTCACATCTGAGGTCAATCCAGGAAGCCCAGTGAGAAAATTGGGGCAGCAGGGACAGGGTTGAGCACAGGTACACTGTGACGTAGCTCAGGGGGCCTGAGCCTGAGCTTAAGTGGAGCTCCTGAGGCACTGGGCAGAAGGTGCATGGGTGGAGGGTCCAGGTGAGGCTTGTCAGGGCTTTGGGTGCACCAACAGTTCTTAATGACCCTGGCCTGTCTAAAAAACAGGCATAATAGCTGAAGTCAAACTACAGTACAGCCTGAATTGTAGCTTAATTTGTCCCTCAGTTCTGCAATCCTATCAAAACTAATACTGATCCACAGGTGAAAGAGAGAAGGATCAGGCCTCCATGTACCCTTTGCTACAAGGGTGGTTTAAAAAGATGAGAGAGGAAAGAAGATCCCATTTAAGCTCATTCAACAAACTCTTCATTTAACATTCTGGGGAGACTGCGGTGATAGTGGAATTTTAGTAGTTTCAGAAATACATCAGACAGAGAGATTGCCCCCCTCCTGCTAAGAGGAAGACTTTCTACAGGCAGAGACAAGAAATGCGCTGTGCAACAACCTCTGTTGGATGAATCCATGTTTAGGTTCTTTATATATACTCTTCAGCTTTTGCATTTCAAATATTCATTTTAGGATTAGTAAAAGAGGCAAACATTGCTGATACATATGCTGTTCTTTAATTTCTTTCCTGTCATTTCGTCTGTTGTTAGTTAGCTATATATACAATAATCATCAAAAGAAAAAGGTGATCTATGTTCTGCTCCTTTGCTTACATGTTTGATTCACTCTTTTCAATATTGGCAGGTTTGGATGTTTAAGAACATGCTAACCGTCTCAAAGATGTTCAGAGCTTCATGCTTGCAACATGATATAACAACCCAGATGGAAGGCAGTAAAAAGTGTTTGTTAACAAGCAAGAATTACTAGCATTGTTAATGGCAATTCCTTTGTTGTCACATTTTAAATGTAGTCATTTCCTAGCTAACAGTCATTAGACTATTTCATTTGTCAATGTTGTATAGAGGTATCTGACCTCAAGACAACAGCTCAATGGTTAGAGATAAGAAATACTCCGGGTTGATTCTCTTTCCCTTCTTTCTGCCTTTTCCACAGGGTTTTTCTTCTTTTTTCTTTTAATTTCCTCATGCTTATTTGACCTGCAATCTTCTGTGCACAAGACAAAGTGCAGCAAGATGCACCTTCTTGGTGAAGAATGTACCTTCTGCAAGATACACTTGATATCTTTATCAATGATCTGGACAAGGGGATCAACTGCACCCTCAGTAAGTTTGCAGACGACACCAAGTTGGGCGGGAGTGTTGATCTGCTCGAGGGTAGGAAGGCTCTGCAGAGGGACCTGGACAGGCTGGATCGATGGGCCCAGGCCAATTGTATGAGGTTCAACAAGGCTAAGTGTCAGGTCCTGCACCTGGGTCACAACAACCCCATGCAATGCTACAGGCTTGGGGAAGAGCGGCTGGAAAGCTGCCTGTCGGAAAAGGACCTGGGGGTGTTGGTCGACAGCTGGCTGAACATGAGCCGGCAGTGTGCCCAGGCGGCCAAGAAGCCCAATGGCATCCTGGCCTGTATCAGAAACAGTGTGGCCAGCAGGAGTAGGGAAGTGATCGTCCCCCCTGTACTCGGCCCTGGTGAGGCCGCACCTCGAATACTGTGTTCAGTTTTGGGCCCCTCACTACAAGAAGGACATCGAGGTGCTGGAGC